CGGGGTGGGAACAGCACGTTACACCTGGGAATACTGTGTTAGCTCGGGCTGTTGTAACAAAAGACCCCAGACTGGGCAGCTTACATGACAGGATTTACTTCCTTACACAGTTCCCGAGGCCAGAAGTCCAAGATCTAGGTGTTGGGAAGATCATGCTACATGAAATATGAGCAGGTAAAGAGCCTGAAAGATGCCCTGGGCCTCTGGCACCAGAAGCCACGAATCTAGACAGTGGGAAGTACTGGTCATCAAGACATTTTTTTTCTCAGAAAATATCAGCTTCTGTTGTTTCAAAGGCCAACCCGAGAGCCAGGAAGGTCCACGAAGGCAGGGAAACAAAGGGAAGAAAATGGTGGCAAACTCGGTGGATGAGGAGGTGCCCACGGTCAGGAGTGGCCAGGGCTCGACCTGCAGGGAAGGTGGCTATTTGTGGCCAGAAGTCAAGGTCAAAGTAAGAAAAGCCAGCCTCTCTCAGCCCCAGGCAGCCCAGTGGAATCTTGTCGGAGTGATGCACACACAGTATGACAGGCAATAGGGCCACATCTGATCATGAGTCACACATAGGAAGAGGCCCACACTTGTGGCTGGTGGCAGAGAAGATGTGCCAGGCACGCCATGGCTGTGACGACCCAAAGGGCAGTGTGGATTTGGACCCGTGGAAGTCTGGCAATTGACAGTTTCTTCTTAGTACTTTGTCCACTTCCTCTCCCCGCCCCCTCCCCTGTTCCACACCCATGGGGAGAACCTACAAGAATAAGAATGCATGCCAGTTATTTTAAAAGGGGCCAACTTACTTTAAGCAAGTATGCAACCAGTTTTTATTTGCTTTGTAAACAGTCCTCACTTTAAAAAGCATTTCTAATATACTGAAACAAAATCCACAATAGACTAACGTACAACGTGATCTACTCTGCTGTATTTGCCTTGTGACAATACCTATGGTGATAAAAACTCTCAAAACTGCAGCCACAAAGCTCTCCCACCTTCTCCTGCCTCCTGCGCCCAGCTCTGCACGCCTGGGGAGCCTTGCTAAGCAGGAAGTCCTGGCGCTGTGCTGCTGGCAGCCTCTGGCTGACCCCAGCACCTCCCAGGACATAGGTGGCTTGTGTTGAACTGCTTTTGTAAGTGCTACCAGGACAGATTTCCACTAGGTGCTCTGCACCCAAGGTCTGGGGCTTTTATAGGGGGCTTGGTCTCTGAGACGAGAGAGAGAGAGAGAGAGAGAGAGAGAGAGAGAGAGAGAGAGAGAGAGAGAGAGAAGAGAAAGAGAGAGAGAGAGAGAGAGAGAGAGAGAGAGAGAGAAGAGAGAGAGAGAGAGAGAGAGAGAGAGAGAGAGAGAGAGAGAGCGCGCGCGCACGAGAGAAAGATTGGCTTCAAAGTATAAAAATAAGAATCCCAAATGGATCAGTTTCATTAAATGTCTACAAATGCAATATTGTATATCTCACTAGTGTTCAAACACATTCAATACATTTGAAAACAATTTGTTACATAACATTTCTTTTGAGAAATTCCCCAGTATTCATGATCATTATTAAATCAATGTTAAGTGTAGAGATTGCCAAGTAACTTCAAAAGTAAAACATGAAAAAATCTGCAGAGAACGTGCTGCTAAGGTGGGATGAGGGTGCATGTTAATATTTGATGAGTGGAGAAACCATCAAATGCCAGGCCTAGGGCAGCAAAGTCCCAGGGAGACGTCCTGCCAGCCAGTGCAGTTGCACATCTAGTAGTCATGGTAACAGAAGTATGATCAGGTGAATTCATTTTATTATTCAACATATCACTTTTTTTGTACCAACTCTTTGAAATCTGCTGTGCATTTTACATTTATTTACACCTCAATTCACACGAGCAGCACGTAGGCCTAGAGCTTCAAATTAAAACTCAGTTTAAAATAGCCCTCCTCCCCATCTGGGGAGATACGGGTTTCATCATCTTTCCCAAACCAGGGGCAGGAATCATGCTAAAGGGTGAGCAGTGTTCAGTGTCTCCTACACCATCAGCAATCAGGCCTCAAGGTCCAAGAAGGAAACCAACAGGGACATTTAATTCTTAAGTAGAAAAATCAGGACTCTGGCCTCTGAAAAACTGTTGCCTTCAGCTTTTCCAAAGGTGGCCATCAGTTTTTCTAAAGATAAAAATGTATTATTTTAAAAAATATTCTTCTCACAGGATAAATAATCCCTTGGTTTCACTTTCCAAGTATCTTACAAGCTCAATAACAAGAGCAAACCGGAACCTACACTCATTTTTTCTAATAAAGTTAAGCCCCTGAAATTGAATACAGAACCTGTCCCCAATAGTGGTATTAGAGTCACTGGCGCCACCTGCTGGCTGCACCAAAGCACAGCATCACCCTTGGGGTATACTCTTAGACAATGGAGAGGGGCTTTCTCTCCATTGGAGTCCGCATTTCTCAGGAGGGACAGCAATGACTCTGCCATCAGCAGGCACTCACATTGCCCCACCAAATTCCACCCTGGCATCCTCTCGTCCAGAAAGGTCCGGGCCTAAGGCCATGAATGATGGGGGGCGGGATTCAGCAGACCCCAGGCGGAAGCGGGCTCAGATGTGTGCTGCACCCCAGAGAACTGACTCGAAGATAGGCATGTTCACACAGAACATCGTTTCCGCAGTTACCAGGATCTGCCTCCTAGAACACGGTCAGACGTGCACCTTCCTGTGGACAGCTCCTACATCTCTAATGACATCTCGTTTCAGCATCGTCCCAGTACGTCGTCCTTCCTACCAGTTCGCGTCCCCTCAGTAACAAGAAAGCCTATTCCCACGGAGTGAAAAAGCCAGACGGATAAGTCAAATGAAAGCAGAATCCCGGGGCAAAGCTAATGTCCATGGTAAAACCTTCTCAACTCTTCTGTATGTCGGAAATTCATTTTTATTTTTACTGATTTCAGAAAGGAAGGGAGAAACATCAATGATGAGAATCATTGATCAGCTGCCTCCTGCAAGCCCCCCACTGGGGATTGAGCCTGCAACCCATTCATGTTCCTTTGAGTGGAATCGAACTTGAGACCCTTCAGTCCACAAGCCAACACTCTTATCCACTGAGCCACACTGGCTTGGGCTATGTGTTGAAAATTCTTACAGCAAAACGGGGGGATGTGTGGGGAACACTATTGTGTCTTCACCATGAGCTTTATAGAGCTCCCCTTTTTTATTAACTGGGTATACAGATTTAAATGGCAGAATGATAGCATTTCTTAGAGTCAAGATTACACTTTTATCTTTTTGAATAGAATATGCCATCAAATTTACCAAGTTATTGAGCACCTACTGAACACAACATGCTGGCTTCTGCAGAGACAGGGAGGTTTAAGGCGGAGAGTTCCTCAAGGCTCCTGTGTTTTTGAGGAAACATGAAAACAAATATCTTAAAAGTTTAATGATTTCAACAAATACCTCCTGGTTGACCATCAGCAAGTAAGTGGTAGTCTTTATGCTCCTGGTGGGCAACAGCAGCAAACTCACTCCTGGTTCCTGGCAGCCCAAGGACTTGTGCACACGTTCCCAACTTGCCAGTTACAAAAACGACCCCTTTGGCAATGTGGCAAAGCCCACACTGGAAAAGGGCACTTCCGGAAGCTCATGGCTTAGGCTCATAATTTTGTGGCTGTGTTCAACTTTAGCTTAAAGAATGTCGGCACCGAGGCTACACTAAAGCTGTAAATCTACTCCCCCTCCAGCGAAAGGGGCTCCTGAGCTAACCAGGCTGGACTCCCTCACTGCCATCTTTCCGACCTCTCTATCTCCCGTCCATATTCTCCGTACAGCCACAGGACTCATTCATAAAAGGGAAAATGAGATGCAAAAGATGAACTTGAAAATTCAGGTTTCTTTTTCTAGTGCCTTTTTCTCTCACAAAAAAATAACTTTTCAGGCTAAGACAGAGCCGGAGAGTTAATGGATCTGAATTCATTTGTGCTCCAAGTACCAAAGAATTTACACCAAGTGCAGAGTCTCCTCCAAGAGGAAATTTTATTGTCATTGCTCTTGAGAAGCAGGCAAACACATTGCTTACATGGTGACACTGATTTCCACACTCAGCAAGTTAGTTTACACACCAGCCCCAGACAGTAAAGTATAAGAAGCATTTGGGATCACCGAGTAAAAACACAATAAATTCCAAAGTCAAACATCAACTAGAATTTCATTTGGTACTTACCAATCAGGAATTTTAAATTAGACGAAATAAAAAAGCAACACCCCAAAACTATCACTAGGGCATGAGTAGAGCACTTCCCATGCAGGGAACTGGGGTTCTAACTTGGCCACACACACAGCGCCCACTCGGGCCTTGCCTAAAAAGGCCCGTCCCTCAGTCTCCAGGACAGCTGCCCAGCAGAAAAGCACTGGGATGTTAAAGATGGGAAAGGAAGGAAAAGGAAAACGCATTGCAACTCTGCTGGCCCATGCTAGCAGGGGCTGTTGCTAGACATTCCACTTGGTAGAAAGTCATTCACAGCCCAGAATTCCCACCGTTCCCAAGCTTTGAGATCCTGGCATTTCCCAAAGGGCATCAGAAGTCACAAATCCAAACCCACGACGATGCTGAACAGGAATGATCACTGCAGAGCTCACGGGTGCTCTCCAGGCAAGGGAGGAGATGGACAAAGGGAGCTTAGAAGGCAGTCTTTAAAATGTTTTATTACAAAGAACAGTACTGTGTTGATAAAACGTTGCCCAGTGTCTTTAGAACACACTGTTAAACTGAGCACTGCAGACCAGGGACCCACAGGACTCTACCTTGGTAATGGCCTCGGTCCCTGTAGGGTCAGAGGACTCCTGTAACAGGCAGTGGAATGGACAGACCAGCAGTCACGTGGCCCAAGGGCCCAAATGCTAAACCATGACATTGTTTTCCCCAGGGGTTGAAATCCACATCCATGATTGACAACCCACCAAAAGCCAGGCCCCAGATTCGTCCACGTCAGGCAGAGCACAGAGGAAACGACTCCGGACCACAGACGTCTCTGTCACTACTTCTTGTTCCTGGGCTTCAATTCTTCGGCTGCATTCCGCAGGAAAATGTAATTTTTCTTTTGAGGATTATAAAATTCATGGCCCTGATGGGGAAAACACACACAACAATCTTATTATGAGAAAGCAAAAGTTAGCACTCTGTGGGCACTCTTCACGCCGTACCCAGCACTATGTGTACGAGGCACAGTCTCCGGAGAACAAATGGAGAGAAAAGCTAACTGTTCAACAGGAATCTCTGTCCTCGGAGAGGAGGCTGGGGATTTGGTGGGATTTGCCTTCCATGTCCCACTTGGAGGAACCACTCCGTCTGTACATGTTTGTCTTGTAGGTGCCACCCCTTTAATAAGCCAAGATGGCCAGCCGATTTGGCTCAGTGATTGAGTATCAACCTTGATTCTCTGGAGGTCACGGTACGATTCCCAGTCAGGGCACATGCCTGGATTGTAGGCTTGATCCCCAGAGTGGGATGTGCAGAAGGCAGCCTATCTATGATGCTCCCTCATCATTGATGTTTCTATCTCCCCATTCCTCTCTGAAATAATATATATATATATATATATATATATATATATATATATATATATATATAAAAATAAAATAAAATAAAAAATATATATATATATTAAAAAAAAAAAAAAAGCCAAGATGCCACCCTCAGAGAGCAAGGCCCCGGGAGGGCGGCGGACGATTAGCTCTGACATGCAGTTTCATGGAAGAGATCTTCTCACCCCTGACTTCATTGGGACAAGAGCTTGGCCCAGGGCGAGCTGCCCCAGACCCAGAGGGAAGGGAGTGCTTGGTGTGCCTGCTGTGCGTGGAGAGATGCAGCAGGCCAGGAACGCTCACCTTGGACCAGTCGTAGCTGGAAGCGTAGGCAAATATGTTTCCGTTGTGATTGAAGCAGCAAGCCGATATGGGCTGATCTAACTGTTCCGAAGTTTTCAGTTTTGTTCTAGCATCTTTGTCCCAGAAGCTGAATCTACCATCAGATCCCACGGTGGCAAGGGTGCCATGAACAGGATGGAATGCGATTCCATTGACCTGCAGGGGTTGACACGCAGTTAGAGGCAGACGAAAGAGGAGAAACCTGCTTTCACCAGCTCGTGCTTCCTGCTTGCAGCTGCTGCGCCTGGTCACAGGAACAACTAGCCATGCTCCCTCAGCCACCGCCAGCCCAGGACTGGATCGTGGCTCTTGTTACCAACACAAGTCAACAGAAGGCAACAAGTGTGCAGCTAGTGACAATGAGGCACAGCCTCAGGAACCGCTCTTTGTCCTCAGCAAACAGCAATTTCTCAGGATAAGCCAAGTGAATAAACTGTCGACCAGCACCATGAAGGGGGAATGCTCTCCCTCATCAGCCCTGAGCTTGCACTGAGAACAGTCAGAGGACGAAGACAATCAACATGTTCACAAAAACAGAAAACAGCCCCACGGAGGCAGCTGCTTCCCTCGAGCCGTGAGCCCCACATCGTCTCTAGTCCTACAATGACTCAGCCACCCACCTCTGTGTCTGGTTTCTAGGCGCATTCCGTTCTCAAGGTTAAGTTTCTAAAAACATACCGCATAGATGTCCTGAGGAGCTGAAGTATTGGTTCCGTTAGATCGGTGACATTTAAAGGTAAAGTTATCTTTGGCACTGAAAAACAAAGGTCCCAGTTAAGTTTCCCTTTTTTAGAGAAAGTCTCGGTTGAAAATGCACCGCCAAACAAGTCCACTCACGGGTTTGGGGGGTTGATGTAGTGGATGGCTACTCTGCCCTCGATGCTTCCCAGCGCAAACCCTGTCGGCTTGTTCTGCTTGTCTTTAAAGATGGCCACACATCGGTGCTGTAGTTTGAAAAAACAAGATAAGCACATCCTCACAGTTAAAACATTTCATATGAACTGAAAGGCAAATTACTACTACCCCATTTTCCATTTTAGGAGAATCAGGAAGGTATTACTCAATATAAGATATTTCTATTCCTCTAGTCAGCACTATTTTCTGACTTTCTTGCTTTCCTCTGTCACCCCAGAGACCTGCCTGCCACTCCAGCAGTGCCCAAGACCCTCAGGACTCCACAGGACCCTACTCTAGTGTTGGCCTCTTGTGAGGAGGGAGAAAGACACATCAGTGTGAATCTTAGCCCAGCACTGACTGGTGGGCACCCATCACTGTGACCCAGTGTTCTGTGCCTCTGCCCCTCACTGAAAAAGGGAAGTAGTGCCTACCTGGCCATCACTGGGGACCAAGAGTCAAGCGGGACAGGGCTGAGCCAGTGCTTTCTAAACCACAAATGGGCAATACCGAAGCAAGTCACTGACCTGACCCAACCCTGCATCTGGGGACCCAAAGGAGCATCTGCTGGATTCCACCCAAGATTCCACAGTAAGAGCTGAGAGCCCAGCCTTCGGGAGGAGCAGGGGTGGGCACCTCTGGGTCCTCCCTTCCTCCTCCTACTCATGGCAACCTGGCCTACTCCAGAGGACCACCCACCATGCCCAAGCTGGACATTTTAGCTTCTGCGGAGGTCAGGAGATGTGGCCGGAGCAGCATGAGATGATGGGAAAAAGCAGTTTGTTATTGTGATAATGCAGAGCACACAAACGTCCTACAAAAATGGAAAGTAGCCGGAACAGGTTTGGCTCAGTGGATAGTCGGCCTGCGGACTGGAAGGTCCCAGGTTCGATTCTGGTCAAGGGCATGTACCTTTGTTGCGGGCACATCCCCAGTAGGGGGTGTGCAGGAGGCAGCTGGTCGATGTTTCTAGCTCTCTATCCCTCTCCCTTCCTCTCTGTAAAAAAAAAAAAAGGAAAATAAATGCTGGTTCCCTTGGTGTCATTTGCTCTTTAACCCATTGTATGCCATAAGCATCTGTAGACGGAAGCGGTGGACCTTCCCCACATGCCATGTGTGTCTTAAAAAAAAATGTTTTCCCTAACTGGCAGCCCTGACCAACTTTAAAATCATTTTTTGTGAGAATTTTCAGCTGAAAATATTCAAGAACACCCAAATTGTGAATAATATATTTACTTTTATAATGTTCATTGCAAATAGATTTTTAAAAATTCAAACTATCATGGCGCGTGGGATGGTTTCCGTTTTGAATAAAATAGCAAGTTCATTATTTCTGTAAGAAAAGTTAACAAAATGAGACAAAAGTCTGCAAGTACTTGGAGGACAAGAGGAACCACGGCTGGTCAAGCTGTACCCCTGCCAGTCCACCAGCTCGGCACAGGGTCTACTGTCCACACACAGACAACAACCACACAACTGGGATACGATTTACAAGAACACATCTGTATGGTGACCTGGGGAAGACTGGTGGCATTCCTCAACAAGTGAATGAGCAGGCACCTGGAAGTGAAGCCAGACTAGACTAGGTTTTATCAAGGAGCTTGAATTTACCCAAAGGGCAACGAGGTCAGTTAGGGGGTTGAAGCAAAGGCATGACAGGGTCATATGTGCCGAGATAGGAGTCCGCACACTCAGGTATGGAGGATGGACTGAAGGACCTAAACTCTTCTTGTTACTCAACTGGTTAGGGAGAGGGGTCCAGGTGGTGGGGTCAAAATGAGGTTTGTTTCGTGGGACAAGTGAAACTTGAGCATGATGCACTAAGCATTATGCGGGGGAGAGACTGAAGGTACAGAAGGGAGCTGGCTGATGAGTGGCAGGAGGTTCCTGAGAAGGCCGAGGGCATGGGTCCTTCCCTGAAACCGGTCCTGGGAGAACAATGCCTCCACCTGACAGCTGGGGATGGGCAAGAAAAGGCACAGGCAGGTTTCTGGATTCACAGGAGGAAGCTAAGGAAGCTCCAAACCACCAGCTTGTTTTCTGAGAAGCTGATCTGAGCTCTGAGACAAAGGGGAAAAGAGAGAGAGTCTAGGGGACCCAAGAAAGTGAAGATCTAAGAACCTGTGGCAAGTGGAAGACAGAGCAGGAGACAAAAACCTAAGACACCTGGGCAAGACGAAGGCACTGTGGAAGGCCGAAGCTGAGCTTACAATGGAACCAGTCCACTGGGAAGTGCAGTTTTATTCAGTAGCACCCAGCTATCAGGAGGAAGTTTAGGAGACAGGTAAGCTGGGCTCATCCAGCGATGAAGAGTTTTCACTCGCTAGCCATTTGTGTCCTTAAATTGACTCCCTTTGAGAATACGTACAGGTGTTTAAAACTATACTTGGGCACAGGATGGGTCTAAACCCTGGCTTCTTGATCTGACTTCCAACTCACCTGATGTTTCAGGGGAGATTCTATCCTCCTGAATTCAGAAGGCTGGTTCTCCAACTGATAGACTATCAGTCCCCTCTCCGCAGTTGCCACCACGGCCATAGGATATATCTAGGGAATGGCGGAGAGCAGAGACATGACTAAATAGAGAACTGTGCTTTAAAAAAAAAAAACCCACTGCCCTCCAACCCAGGAGCGTGCTGTCTTTATACCAAAATATTATATCAAATGTTTTTACAGTTATAAAAATAAGTCTGAATTTTTTCTAAGTTTAAAACCTAATGATATCAACAAGTTTTAAGAAAACATAAAATCACATTTAGATAAAATCATTTATTTTTAAAAGACTAATTTCTTTAAAACTATCTTACATAATAAAAGGCTAACATGCAAATTGGGAGTTTGACCAGAGGGGGTGGGGCTGGCTGGCCAACTGCCCACATCCCCTTTCCCTAGCCAGCCTGGCCCCAATCAGCCCTGAAGGGCCAGCAGGCCAGACCCCACCAGTGCACAAATTATGCACCAGGCCTCTAGTAAAATATATGAATACTTAGAAAATAAACTTAGGAGTAGAAAAGAAATAAAAATCATCTATAGCTCTTCAAATAATAATAGTTGTTAATGTTATGATAGTTTTACAACCAGTCTTCATTCTGAGCATTATACATGTATGCATGCGAATGTATGCTTCGATATAATCCGTATCATTAACTGAAAGTATGTATTCTAAGAATACTAGTGACTATCTAATATTCTCTCAAATAATCCTACCCTATGGTTCACTTAATCACGTCTGCCTTGCTTGCCCTTTAGATCACTTCCCATGTTTCACAGTATTATAACAACAGAGACCATGTGCAGCCTTCTTATTCTCATGACAAATTTCTGTAAGTGGAATTGCTGGGCAGTTGGTAGACAGCTTGGAGACTGATGACTAAATGGATGGAGAAAGGTCTTCATTTTCTCACCCACAGAGACAGTCCCCACAAATCTAATACTGCCCATATTCCTACAGCCACATGATAAAGGTCATATCCTGATGGCACATAGCTCTCTGCATATATTCAAATGACAAGTGACCAAAAACCTGACTATTTAGTAATTCTGGAACAAATGCAGCACAAGAATCTGATTTAAGATAACTGAGGCAATCTGGACTATATTCCCTTCCAATTGCAAGATGTCATAAAGTCAAAAAAGCTTTTATCTTTTAAAAGGAAATAGGTATAAAGTTAGAAACTTTACCATGTCGGCACAATAACACCTCTCAGGGAGCTGCAAAACCATCATGGGATTTGATGATCGTGTATCCCAAAACTAAAAGAAAAAAGCCAGAAAGCGACCATTCAGAGCTGAAGCCCAAACAGTGTAAGAACAATGAACGCATGTTGACCTGGTCGGGCCACAGGGCCCCTCAGCGGAGTGTACCTTCAAAGTCTTATCCCAGCTCCCAGTCATCACACAGCTGTAGTTCGGGGCTTTGATCCAATGAATGGTTTTCACAGGAGCATCATGCTTTCAACAAGACAAAACCAAAACAGATGAAGGTAAATGTAACTAATGCTAACAGCTTTAGTTCTGAAAGTCCAAAGAGAAGGAATTAATTTAAATATTGAGGACATACCAAACAAAACTAAAGGGTATTTTAGCCCTTCACCATGACCAAAACGTTCAAATAATGTAAGAGCCCATATCTCCCTTCCATTCTCATAACTTAATTGGATTTTACCCACAATTAACTAGCATGTGACAGTGAGAGGGAGTCCCTCCTGGGAAATCATCAGAAATAACTAGTAGGGGACTCCACCAAGGTTTTACTTACTCATTGAGGTGACACACTAAGAGATCAGGAGTTGCCTCTTAACAGAGCACTGTGGCCTGAGTGCGGGACACCTCCTGAGACCATCTCAGTGTCCTCATAGGTTCCAGTCCCCCGCTCTTGGTTCTCTCCTCTTCACCGCTTCCACCTTTCTTAGCAGACTTCACACAAGAGCCTGCCTTGTCCCTGAGTGAACTATAAGCTCTGGAGCGTGTGAAAGCATCCCTCACTGTTGTACCTCCCTGCTAACAGTGCCTGGCATACATCAGGTATTGGGTAAATACTGGCCCAATGAATGAGTGAGCACATGTAGCTGGTAAAAGACAAGCCACCACAGGTACTGAGTGTCAAGCGAGTGAATGCTGAGGGTCACCTGTCACATGCGTCCATTACAGATTTAACTAACTCCTCATGATGCTCTTATCTGCATAGACACAGAAGACCCTTCACAAGGCCGTCTGTGGAGCACTAGTAAGAATAGTCACAAACGGTTCTGTTGTGCTAATGAGGAGGTTTCTGTCTACTTAAGTCTAAGTGAGTTGGTATAATCAAACCGCATCGTTTCTATAAGAGAATCCGAGAAATTAAATTATAGAACTTGAAGGGGCAAGTTCTCCTTACCTGTGCAATCTGTATCGCTTGATTACTGTTAAGGTCCCACATTTTGGCAGTTTTATCACATGAAGCCGTAAAAACTTTGCTCCCATCCTACAATAAAATGGAGAGAATCTGTTGTGCTAATAAAAAAAAAATCTCTATCTATATGTATATTTAGATGAGGCTGAATGTATTCAGGCAGGTTTTGTTCTGCAGTTTTTACTTTCCAATTAAATGGGGCCGCTATACTATAAATGACAATGTCATAAACAAAACACATTTTCAGCTCCATTTTTATTGATTTTTTTTTTTTATAAGACATGCTATGTAAACAGAATTAACAAATTCAAAGGGCACGGTGAGGACTCGGCCTCTCTCACGTGACACCAGCTCTCTTTTCAGAGGCAGCCAGGGCCCTGACACGTCCTCCAGGAATAGACAGCATATCTAGTATCTATGTCGGTTAACCAGGAGCCACTTACACTTTTTTTCTTATTTTAATCAATTTTAAGCCTTCACAAAAGTTGCAAGAATAAAACAATGAACACCCATAAACCCTCCACTTAGATCCACCAATTACAAACATTTGTCATATTTCCTTTTTCTCTTTATACACACATATGTCTATACTCATTACTTTAAAAATATATATATTATATATAAAATATAAATATAAATATATATAAATATATATATATATTTATAGAGAGAGGAAGGGAGAGGGATAGAGAGTTAGAAACATTGGTGAGAGAGAAACATCGGTCAGCTGCCTCCTGCACACCTCCTACTGGGGATATGCCTGCAACCAAGGTACATGCCCTTGATAGGAATCGAACCTGAGACCCTTCAGTCCACAGGCTGATGCTCTATCCACTTAGCCAGATCAGTTAGGGTTATACTCATTACTTTTGTTCAGTTCCATATCTAATAGCATTCCAAAGGACATGCAATAAAAGGACACTGATATTCAATAATCAGTGGTCCTATGTCAATAACAGAATATCCTAAAAATAGCAGTTCTTGTAAATGGTTTTTAAAATATTCACATACAGAACTCAAAGTAGACCATTCAAATATGAAGAAGCACAAGATAATTTTTACTGGCTGGCTAGCGTGGTTAAGTGATTGAGTGTCGACCTATATAACATGCTGGGTTACAGGCTTGATCCCCATTGTGGGGTGTACAGAAGGCAGCTGATCAATGATTCTCACTTATCATTGATGTTTCTATCTCTCTTTCTCCTGCTCCCTTCCTCTCTGAAATGAAAAGATATATATACATATACATATGCATATACATATGTGTGTGTATGTACACACACACACACACACACACACACACACACACTAGCATGCACTGGTGAGGTCCCTAAGCCTGGCCTACAGACACCCCCTGAGGGGTCTCGGATTGCGAGGTCCCAGATTGCAAGAGGGCCAAGGGACCCCACCAGTGCACGATCTGGGCTGGGGAAAGACCACAGGAAGGCTCCAAGGAGTGTCTGGCCATGTCACCGAGCTCTGATCAGGGCCAGCCAGCCAGCCAGGGAACAGTGGGAGGGCTCCAGGGTGTGTCTGGCCCATTTCACACAGTCTCCATTGTCTGAACCCCAGCAGCAAGCTAACCTACTGGTCGGAGTGTCACTGACCTCTGATGGTCAGAGTGCATCATAGCTACAGGTAGAATGGTCATTTAGGCTTTTATATATATTTAGATATATCCTATCTAATAAAAGCCTAAGATGCTAAGTATCCGGTCATCCAATCAACCAATCAAAGCATAATGTGCTAATGATATGCTAAGGCAGCCCCCAGCCGAGAGAGAGCAGAAGGGCTGGGCTGTCAGCTCTCCCCACCATCCCCACTCCTCCTTTATCCAGGGGGCAGGCCCTCCACAGCTGTAGCTGCCTCTGTGCCTTGCCACCTATCCTTCACCTTCATTAAATACTCCTCAATCAATATCAACAATAAACAACACAAAAACCTTGAACATGCTTTTTATGTAGCTGACAGTCAGGATCTGGGAGGGAAAAGGGAATCCCAAAAACCCAAATGTCTTCAAATGTCTAAGAACAGAAAATAATTTATTTTCTAGATAGTAAGTTTATAAATTTTAATATATTTTATTGATTTTTTACAGAGAGGAAGAGAGAGGGATAGAGAGGTAGAAACATTGATGAGAGAGAAACATCGATCAGCTGCCTCCTGCACACCCCCCACCGGGGATATTGCCGCAACCAAGGTACATGCCCTTGACCGGAATTGAACCTGGGACCTTTCAGTCCACAGGCCGATGCTTTATCCACTGAGCCAAACCGGATTTGGCAGTAAATTTCTAAATTTTAAAACAACATAAGCTCATTGAATATTTAGAAGTAGGAAAGGCCTCAAGAAAAATCCTCTGTTCAAAGTAATCTGTCATTAAAATAATGGATTTTTTATGTAACAAAGCTTTCAAAGATTAAAGCCAATAACAATAACATCAGGAACATCAATAAATTACTATATTTACACTCAGATATCAAGAATTCCTTCAATGTGTACTCATACCTATTATTTGTGTTTGGAGTTATATAAAAACAGAAATATACCAACATTCTGAATACACTGTACTTTATGTAGAAGAAACATGAAAAACTGAATGGCACTTACATCACTCCAGCAGACGTCGAGGACAGGCCCCGTGTGCATCTGCTGGGCTTTAGGAATAGTCTGTCCACTGTCTTGAACTTCCCAGCAGCGAACCTATGGTAAAAAGACAAGTTAATGCAAATATAGCAATATATGATAAAATATATGTCTTTAAAAACTAGTAACTAATGGAGTACAATTAAAACATATATGGACTTCTATCAATCTACTTATTAAAATCTTAGAATAAAGTAATTTTAAAGTATACACAAGTAGTTATTTTCCTATTCCTATTTCTAAGCCATTTAAATCTACAAATTTGTTTGCTTCCATGTAAAACTGCAAACAGTTTTCACAATATAGCTATGAGCCACATCTGTCTTTTTAGGCAGAATCAAAACCAAAGTGGTAACTTACCTTTCTTCTCTGAATTCTTTGATTTTTTATATAATTTTTCCCCAGTTACAAAAGTAATGCATTTTACTTAGAGATTCTGTAAATATGACATGAAAATCAAAATCACCCTCCACCCACCAGACAACTAGTTGGCAGCTGTGTGCTTTCAGTCTTTCTAAGCACACATACTTTCTGTGAAAAACGAGACTGCACAGTATCTTCATTTTTGTAATTGCAGTTCCCCTCGACGGGAATTGCAATTACAAAATAAGCATTCTTACATTTTTTTGGCAGAGAATCAACTGAAGTCTTTCTAGAAACTCCATGTAAAAATCAAACCTGCTCAATCTTGACAACTTCCCCGCTGGCCTATTCTGTCCTCTCCTCCTCCCCTCCCTGACTCCTGCTTTCCTGTTGCAGAATCCTTTTCAAAAACTTTAAAAATAATATCCCATCATTCCAACATATCATAAATTACCATTACTATTAGATAGCATAATTTTGAAGTTTTACTGCGTAAAGACCCTCAAGGATCCATGCTTAGATCCTCCTCAGGCCCTGAGGGGAATTGCGAGAGACAGGATTAAGAACCATACAAACACACAACTACCAGCACACCATGTAAGGTTTCAGCTTAGTGTTGTCAGCACCAAGTGTGATTCTTTTAGCCTTCTTATTTTTATTTATTTGATAGAAAAACAAGTTTATCGTGTAAATGCATGTTTACCTATTTTAGGTGTGGTTGAAGTTTAACGGGTCACTTGAACCTCTTTGTGAAGTACCTCTTCACACCCATTGCTTATTTTCTACCAGAGTTTTATTTCTTTTTATATATACTATGTTTTTGTCTTTTTTGTACACAACAGTTAAGCATAAGGTCTATGCAGAATCTATGCTGTATCTCAAGTTGAAAAGTTTGCCATATGCCTGAAGAACATGCTCAGGAAGCCTAGGTACACTGTCACAGACAACATGAATTCCCAACGATTGGGAATACACTTCCAGATACTGACCTAGAGGAGGAATTTCTGAGCTACCCGTAAAATCGTGCTTTCTTAACTAACCTCAGTGTACCAAGAAGTGACGTCTGCCCACTCAGAAGGGTTTACACAAGTGGTTCCCAATGTGGGGCACAGGGGGACAATTCAAGAATCAGTAATTGACAGTGAATTTTTTGCATTTCTTATAGTTCTAGGGGCCTCGTGTACTGTATGTATCTATAATAATAAAAGGGTAATGTGCTAATTAACCGGATGTTCTTCTGGATAAAGCTGGGGCTACAAGGGAAGCCTGGGTCCCAGGTGCCTGCTGGCAACTGGAGGGAAGCCCGGGTCCCAGGTGCCAGAAGGAAGCCGGTGCCAGCAGCCAGGGGAAGGAAGGCTTACCCTTGCACGAATTTTGTGCATTAGTCCTCTAGTAAATATACATTGTGATGTATTTATGCATTTCAGTTCCCTATTATGTTTTGAAACTTTATTTGCTATTTTTTTTAAAATATATTTTATTGATTTTTTACAGAGAGGAAGGAAGAGAGATACAGAGTTAGAAACATCGATGAGAGAGATGTTGCCTCTTGCACACCCCCTACTGGGGATATGCCCGCAACCAAGGTACATGCCCCTTGACCGGAATCGAACCCGGGGCCCTTCAGTCCCCAAGCGCGACACTCCATCCATTGAGCCAAACCGGTCCCGGCTTTATTTGCTATTTTTTTAAATATCACTTCATATTATTAATTTTTAACAATTTCTTAGTGATTTCTTCCTCACTACTTTAACTGTCCTTCTGTTCATTTTTCTTTTTCATGGAAGCCATGTTCTTTGGAAGCTTGTTTAGACCAAGTTAATAGCCTTTTAGGCTTCCTCCACGGGAAAAGGAGTCATTCTTTTAATAATAAGAATTATATATCACGTTGGGGGAGGGGGGGTGCATCAGGTTTTATAGATGCTTAGGTGGGGCCTGGCCAAAAAAGGTTGATGCCCTCTAACTCAGCAGTCGCCAACCTTTCGGACTTCACGGACCACCAGTGGTCTGAAGGCCACCAGTTGGCGACCACTGTGCTAACTGATTTATCTATAATTTATTTATTTAAATATACTAAAACATTTCTACAGAAAATGGTAAAGACAGGAGAGTTCCATATATCCCACGCCCAGTTTCCTTCTTACATTTGTCTCAGCTTCATCCACTTGGGAGAGGACAGAGCCAAAAGGAAAGCTAATTCCACCCATTCAAATTACAGAACACACACATAAGGAGCACTTACATCGTTAGCCCACGATCCGGCAATAAGAAAGTTCCCTGGCAAGGTTGGTGGGCTAAAAGACAGACAACCAATACTATCATCAGGAGAGGATGTCACTTCAATATCCTGGCGGGGGAAAGAAAGGTCAATGTTAAAATGTATGTATCATCCCAGTTTCATTCAAAAGTGCTTTTTTTTTTTTTTTTTTCACTGAACACCTCACGGTGAAATTCCCTTGTGTTCAAGAACTGAATCAGACCTAGACCTGTCTTACTTTGCTCAAAAAGGGTGATGAGAAAGAAGCCAGTGAAGGCACCAGCACAACCACATTTCCAGATGAGGGCCCACCATCTTCCCCTTAAGTGCTGATCACAGCTATTGCCTGCCCTCCCTCCCCTCAGAGATTCTGATTCAACAGTGTAGGCCTGGCCTCAGGTGATTCTGGTGATTGGGGAAGTGAGGGGGACACCAGTACAGGGACATATGGTCCCTGTGCTCCAATGTTTGAGAGGGCAACCCGACAAATGTTCAGAGCTTTCACCCCAAAGGAGGCTCCCACACTATCAGTTTCTTCTGCTGTCACTGCTGTGGGAGACCCCGGCCTGCACTCTTCAGGCAAACCCAGGGTGTCCAATGTGGTACCTTCATAGGGTTGTGGTTATCTGTAGTTGTGCTGCCAAACATGCTGGTCCCACTAGTTCCAAAACCAGAGGTTGTTCCAAACAGACTCATTTTGGCTCTAAAAAGATAATGGAAAATGTTAAGAACAAGTCCTTTTTTAAGCTATAAATACCACCGAGAGGCAAAACAAAACTAATTAAGGCACAGAAGGGAAACAAAGAGTACATGGCTTGATGCTAGGCCTATTTCTATTGAAAAGATCTAAATATGTGAGAGAGTGCTTTTTAAAAATAAACTTTCTATTTTCGAAGTTTTAGATTTATAGAAATTGTAAAGATAGGAAAGTTCCTATGCACCCACAGCCAGTTTCCTTCCTACCCTTGTCACCATGGATAATCCAACGCTGACACATCCCTGCAGTGCTTCTCAGGCCTCAGCTAGAACTCAACTCGCTCAGGCTTTACAGCCACACTGTGCTAAGCACCAGGATACAACAGCAAATCAGCAGGTCCCCCTCTTCCAGGTTCCCATTGAGTGAGAATCTACTTTCTGCTTACTAATCTCTGCTCACTGGTTTAGGTCAAGATCTCCACGTGAAGTTACTTAGAAAAGCAACCAGTCCTGGCTGCGATTTCCTTGTAAGAGTTTTTCAAAGTAATCCATTTGGTCTACATGAGCACCAGCCTCACATATGGGTGGATATTTGCCAGCAAGAATCTCCCATTATGAGTTGTTTTAGTAAACTCACCAGGGTTTAGACCCTGCTCTCACCAGGCCTTACTTTCCTGCTTTATAAATACAAAATACTTTTTCCAGGAGTACCTTGAGGATCAAATTGGGTTATACATGTAGAAAGGGCAGTAAGTACCTCACACTTAATGGGTACAATAAACAACTTTCTTTTGCCAGGAGAAAGTCTGTGCACTGTAACTCCCTGATGACTCACGTATGCTGATAGCAAAATTTCAAACCAAGAAGCCTACAGTCAGGCACCTCTCCCAAAGGAGTCAGGGAGCTGAGTGGCATACTTGCCAACAAGGGTAACATCTCTAAAAAAAGACAACACAGACTGGGAAACTACTAGGAATTTTGGAAAGACACTGGAGTTTCCTGAGCTTAATGAAAAATAAGCAGGTGCAGACATGCTAGGTCAAAGCAGCAATTCTGAGCACATTAATCTCTCAGAAAGCAACTCTGTGAGAGGTGGTGGTGCGTGCCAACTACCGCTGTCTTAAATGTGAGCAATGTACTTGGAACACCAGTTAACTGTATGTGAACAAAACAATGGCCAGGCTTCTGGTATGGAGTCCAGGAACTAGCTAAATCACTTTGGCCATGTTATTTAGCCTTGATTTTCTCATCCATAAAAAGTCACTGACATCCATCTCACAGGGTTATGAAAACCAAGTGAGCACACACAGTGCCTGATACTTTACTCCCATTCCTTCCCCCTTTTCAACCACCGAGAGGGGAGAGAACATTTCTGCCATTAGGAAAGAGCACAGGTCATTCAAGTCTTCATCAGCCATTGTGGACCGCAGAATAGGCAGGGCCCTGGGAGCCCTCAGTTCAGAAGGCTCCTGTCCGCCTTTCACCTCCCCCATCTCCCCCACCCCATCCCCCCGCTGCCCTCCTCCTGCTCTCCGCCCAGCGCTCTCTGCCCCTGCACAAGGCGTGCTCAGGGGCCTTGGGGCTTTCCTTCTAGCTGTGGCCGGGCCACCCTCCCTCCCCCAACCTCCAGTTGTCTGTCAAAGGGTGCCTCCGGAGAACTTTTTGAGGGGACCTAATGTTCTAAAACTGCATCGAGGTGATGTTTGCACAACTATATTAAACTCCCCAAACTCATCAACATGTACACCATGATCTAACTCACAATAAAGCTCTCAAACGAATATTTTCTAAAAAAGGTCACCTCCTCAGAGGCTTCTCTGCCCCGCTAATTTAACACACCCAACCTTCGATCACCGCCTCCCCTGCCCCCTTACCCCGGTTTCCTTCATAACACCTCTCCCGATCTGGAATGTCTTTGCCATCAACCTCTTTCCCAGAACGGCAGCTGCAAAAGCGCAGAGCTGCCTGGGCTCCCCGCGCACACCTGGCGTTCACTCAGCACAGACCCCTGCCCGGGGGCAGAGTGTGTGTGTGTGTGTGTGTGTGTGTGTGTGTGTGAGAGAGAGAGAGAGAGAGAGAGAGAGAGAGAGAGAGAGAGAGAGAGAGAGAGATACTTGGAGAGAGAGAGAGAGAGAGAGAGAGAGAGAGAGAGAGAGAGAGAGAGAGAGAAAGAGAGAGAGAGAGACAAACACACACACACACACACACACACACACAGCCCTGGCGGAGGAAGACAGGAAAAAAGAGATTTCGTTTCAGAGAGTGATAAGCGCAACGGGGCAATAAGGCAGGCTGACAAGGGGGGCCAAAAGGTGATGGCTTAGGGTAGCAGAACGGTCAGGCAAGATCCCTGAGGAGGTGACATGCGTTTGACGAGAAGCCTGAATTGTGCATGGAAAGGCGGAGGCGACAGACGCTGCCTTCAACTCTGGTCCTTCTCCGTGCCTCAGTTTCCCCACAAGAGAAACGAGGGGCTTAGACCCGAGGTGACCGCTGAGGCCCCTTCCGGCTACGACGTCACTCCCAGGGACCCCCCTAGGGGAGCTTTTCAACAGGCGGGCTGGACTAGGGCGCACCTGGCCGGGGAGGGGGGCCCGGCTCGGCGGCGCCATGGCGGCGGTAAGGAGGAGGAGCGGCACGGAGACTACCTGAGTCGCACTACGGCGAGGCGCCAGCTGCAGGGACCGGAGGGACTCGGGAGCTTGTGACTCCGCTCCGGCACGAAGGGGGCAAGGGCGAGGTGGCGCGACCAAGGATCCTGCAAACCCGGGATCTCCTCACGAGCCCGGGCCGGGATCTCCTCACGCCGGCGGAGGAAACTGCCCCTATTACTGTGGAGACACTGCGCACGCGCACTCAAGCCACTTCCGGTGTCGCCCGGAAGACAAGAGATAAAAGGCTCCTTCCTCCCGCCAGGCGACGACACATGCGCACAAACGCTATTGACGCTGCGAGGAGATCCTCCTACCAGCAGCTTGCGGATTGGTGGGAAGTTCCGACTTTAGGTAACCTAGCGACGCCTCTGAGAAACCCGCAGCCCGGCTGGTGGAAGGTGGTGTTTCTCCTGTGAGTTAAAAGCCAGGCAAGATTCTGATGGCCGTCCAAGGCCGTTCTTGTAGAAACTGATGGAACGCTGCGCGGGTTCCCGCCATCACTTCCCTGTTTGCGAGAGGGGTATCCTGAGCCGTCCTAGCTCTCTGGACTTCAATTTCCAGCTAAAAATGTCTAACTTCAGGGCTGTTCTTAAATTGGTTCAAGTGGAGTAATACACGCGAAAGGCTTTGGGCAAATGTAAGGTTCCACAAGAATGTTAAGGGGCCGTTAGGACACCCGTGCCAAATGGAATTTTTCAGCTGGTTGCTTTTTCCTCCTTTCAGGGATGTCCAAAGCCCTCGGGGCGGGGGAAGGGAGGAGGATGAGACCTTGTTATAAAATGCACACTCAGACGGTACATGGTGGCTCCGAGAATCCACATTTTTAGCAAACGCCCAGCTGGGGTTGCGGGACCATGCACTGCAGTCTTGAGATATTGAGATCAGGTATTTAGAATCCCTTAAGGGAGCTTGGGGAAGCTTTGATGCCTGGGCCTCATGTTCAGGTTCTGATTTAGTTGCTCTGGGGTGGAACTGAGGGAATTAATGTTTGTTTGTTTTTTAAAAAGCTCCCAAGTGATTCTAAGTTGCAGCCAGATTGAGAACCTCTCCTCTAGAAAATACTTATTCTTTTGAGCACTAGATGACCCCTCTTCTGTAATTTCCTGAGCAGCCCTATAAGGTTGGTATTCTAACATTCCTCATTTTACAGAAAAGGAAAGTGTGGCTGAGAGAGGTGACATGACTTGTTAGAGACCACACAGCTGTTACGCAGTAGAGATAAGGATGTCTGCCCAATGCCTAACTCTTCTACCTACAAAACCTCAGAATCTTCTCCAAGTCCTCCCTCCCTCCTTCCCTTATTCTTCCCCAAATGAATCATCACATTCCATCTCTCTTTAAACTCAGAGCCTTCTCAAAGCGATCTCAGTGCTGATATTTGGCCTAGCAAAACTGTATTTGCCTTGTTCAGCTTCCTAGACCTTAAACATTGTGTCTTAATTCCATGTACATCTTTTGTAGCACCAAGCACAGCATCTTACATACATTCAGTGTTAATATTTGTTGAATGATATTGTTCTAGTATGTACAAAGAATCTTCCATAAGTACCTATTATGATACAGATTCTTGCATAATACTGGTAGATTCAGCATACTTTAAAAAATATTTCTGGCCCTAACTGGTTTGGCTCAGTGGATAGAATGTGGGTCTGTGGACTCAAGGGTCCCGTGTTCGATTCTAGTCAAGGGTGTGTACCTTGCTTGCAGGCACATCCCCAATAGGGGGTGTGCAGGAAGTAGCTGATTGATGTTTCTCTCTCATCAATGTTTCTAACTTGCTCTCCCTCTACCTTCCTCTCTGTAAAAAATCAATTATATCTATCTATCTATCTATCTATCTATAATATTTCTGCTACTTAGGGTTCTTTTTTTTATTATTAGTCCTCACCCCAGGATATTTTTTTTCCATTACTTTTTAGGGAGAGTGGAAGGGAGGGAGAAAAGGGGGAGAGAGAGAGAGAAAAAATGATGTGAAAGGGACACATCCATTGGTTGCCTCCTGCATGAGCCCCAAATGGATCAGAATCCAATCTGCAACTCAGGTCTGTGCCCTTGATCTTGACTGAGAATTGAACCCATTGTCCTTCAGTGCTCAGGCAGACACTCAAATCACTAAGCCACACTGGCCAGGGCTACTTTGGGTTCTAATTAACAAGCTGCTTTTACACAGACTATCAGTGGAACAACAGCAGCAGCATGCTCACCAAAATATAATAATAACTACCTTTCCTTGACTCTTTCTAAAGGGTATTATTCAGCCACATACTTTTTATGAATTACCTCATTTAATCATTGCAATAACTCTATAGGATAGATATATTGTATACCATTTTATGGTTGATAAAA